ATTAAACTATCAAACACAATATTTTAACAGTTTAAAAAAATGGTGAAATGGTGGATGTTTGATACACACATGTGCATAAATTTTAATTAAATAAAAATAGTGCGGTCTATTCAAAGGCACTAAGAACCCGTGGCTGGCGTTCGTTGGGGCCGCCTCTTGCCCGGAGTGTGTGAACGGTGTCGTGCGGTGTGTTTTGGCCCCCTAATTTTGAAACAATCAGCTGATCAGCGCTGCTCTAATTGACAGCTACGACGCCTGCGCGCCCAGCCGTCAAGATGCGCGGAGTCAGTCTGCGCACCACTGCTGCTGTCAAAACTGACAATCGCCAAGTCTATTGTATTTTATTTTTATAGTGTTGTTTTTTTTACAAATTCAGTTAATTTAAATAGTTTATGAGTGAATTAGTCATAAGTTATATGCAAAGCCAAGACGCAGGAACTTCTATTGCCAACGCATCACTAGAGAACCATGTCCAGTGCAAGCTCTGCGCGCATCCCCGGTTTTTCAAAGGTAAGAGAGGCTTACGTATCCATATTGGTAAATTCCATAAACCTGTAAATTTACATAGCTCAGTACCAGCCTCTTTAGCTGTTTCTCATCCGTGTCCGCAACAAAAACACATATCCGAACCATTTTGGCTCCAAACCGCCCATCTAAAACAACATGTCCCAGTGCTAAAACGTATCCCAAGGGGTGCAAGAGTTACCGTCGCCCAACACCTGACTAAACTCATTCAAGATACTGTACGCCTCAACTCAAACCACTCCTGGGGGCCATTCGCCTAACGGAAATGCTTTGGAAAACGCTAACGCTTACGATTTCATTTTGTTATTTCTAGCCACCTGAGGTTTTCAAATGCCTCGCGCTCTTATTTTTCTTTTGCATTGGTAATAACAATATATTAAGGTATTTGAAAACCTTCGGCGGTCAGAAATAACAAAATAAAATCGAAAGCGTTAGCGTTTTCAAAAGCATTTCCGTTAGGGGAATGGCCCACTGGGAGCGTTTACTAACCTTTCCTTTTCGTATCCTTCATATCGAAAAAGGCACAGACCGTAATTTGTCGCTCACGTAACTTATTAAACGCAATTGCAGTACCAACCTAAATCCGACCTTATTCCAATCCCCAGTTTCCTACTCCCCAACATAAATTCGTAACCCATTAAAATATATAGAAAATAAAATAAGTGATGGCGACATCAAGGGTGCTGCGCGTTTATTATTTTCTAACGATGCGGTGGCACCGGACTCTACAGAGACTCTCTCTGCCCTGCAAGCCATACACCCGTCCCCAGCCTCCGACGCGACTTTCCCCATTGCACCTGGCCTCGCGGACCAACCGCTTCAAACGTCCAAAGATGCCGTCCACTTTGCACTTTCTTCCTTTCTTCCAGGATCAGCGGGCGGCCTTGATGGCCTATCCCCACAGCACCTTAAGGACCTTACCAGTGGATGCTGTGGTGAAGCCGGGGAGTCTCTGCTGGAGGCCATTACCTCACTGTGCAATGATGATGCTGAGTGGGAAAGTTGCCACCGATATCGTCGACCTACTTACTATATGGAGCCAATTTATGCGCCCTTAAAAAAATAGACGGCGGCATCCGCCCCATCACAGTAGGTTCGACATATCGACGTCTCGTAGCTAAGATCTGCTGAAAGCTACAGCGGATACGCTCGGGACTTATTTCCAGCCTATACAACTCGGGTTTGGCTCTAAAGGCGGCTGCGAGGCTGCCGTACATTCGCTCCGAGCCATTGCAGAGTCCAAGGGTGGTGAGGTAATCTTAAAAGTCGATGTCAAAAACGCTTTCAATGCCGTTGATAGGGGCACCACCAAGAAATCGTGAAAAGATTGGTGGAGACCACTGGAGACCGCAGAGCTGGCGGCTATTTCGTCCAGCGCATAAGCCTCGCCATTCAGCGGGGAAATGCCGCCAGCGTCCTGGGAACCTTTGCCGACGGGAAAGACTTAGGGCAGCAATTTTTTTAATATTTTAAATTTTTGTCTAGATTTAGTGTAGTTTTAGTTTAATATTTGCCATGTTGCTTTAGATTTGTTTCTTAAATGTGAATATTTGTATATTTTAAAACGGGCGCTTTCTTAAGCTTAAGATTATTTTCACTACTTTCATGAATATTAGAAGAAAGAGGTTTTATTAATTTCAAGATGTATTGGTATGTTATTTGAAACATACTGATATGATTCTCTATGTTCCAAATTTCAATTTGCGGACAACTCCACGAAATATAGACGAAAACGAACTACGTTAAAGACTTTAATAGATTCCAAAGGTGTATGATAGTAAACTATTAAAACAAAAAATCCTGGCCAAATATAAAATACACGGGTGGATTTTATAACGCGCCCATGCGTAACAACGTGCAGCCGCGCAATCATTTGATATCTCAATTATGCTTAAACCTATCCCAATCGCAAACGATACGGTTTGAAATCGTACCTAGCAATAATAGTACCTTCCATTTAATTATTTGATATATGAGTAGTACCTCTCTCATTCATTCTATCAAATCATTCAATTACCAATTTCATAACAGGCAGTTGGAGAGATTTTATAGCTATGGAAAACTAGACATGTTTATATAGGTATGTACCTATGTATCTACTTATAATTCATTTGTATAGCATGGATATATGTTATGTTTTAAATCTTCTTATAGCAAATAATGCCTGTCTCAAAACATGGCAAATTTAAGCTACGTACGCACGGATTAACACGAACATCATGAAAATAAAATCGTGTCGTTAATTTTTTTCTTCTATTCTCAGTTATATTACTTTTAAATCCTACGTTAAATTCTACCTGACCTTACCCAAACAAAAACATAAACACCCCAATTTATAAACGGAAACCTTCATTACGTAATATATGGTGTAACTAAGTTTGTCTCTCATTATAATTCATTAGTTTCAGCAGTATTTTCATCTTATGTAATTTCAAAGCGAGAAACCTAGGTGAATTAAACTTACAAAAGTTTAAAGTTCTCCTAGCACTAACTAAGAAGTTTTAAGTTACTAGTCAGGTTTATTATTTGCTAAATTAAATGCCTTCACATAAAGTCTACGAAGGACAAAAATGTTGTCCTCAGCTCCTTCATAACTTAATATACTCTTAACAAGTGTCTGTACTCTGCTTAGGTTACATAATACGAAATCAGTTTTGGATAATTTTCCAAGTATGATGGTACTCAACGTTGTTGGTAAACAAAAATTTTCGATCCCTTCAATATTTGTCTTGTTAAAAGGGTTTATCTGGTTACATCAGACAGGTAAAATTTACGCGAGCCAAAACATTCTTCTTAATATTTCATCCTTCTATGTTTAATATTCATTAAAATTTTAATAGGATCTTGCTTATTGAACACACAAAAATAACAGAAAATGTTGTTGCATTAATTTTCGTACCTACGTCTGTCAACAGACAAATAATATAGTAAAATCTACATAAGCAAGTGAGAAGTATCTAAGCTAATGTAAATTTATCTGCAGGGAGCTTGGTACCACAGTAGTTGCACGTCCATGCAGTCAAGCACAGCCCTAAAGAATAGAATAGAAGAGCAAGAATTCTTAAATTCCAGCTCTTCCATGCTGCGCGTGATTTGATAGGTAGTGATCCGTCCTTTCTGTGTCCACAGGTAAAGTAGTGGAGACCTAAGTGCAGCGCACACCGGGAGAGGCGCGGCGAAGATACTAAGCGCAGCTACTCCAAGCGCGGCTTTGAGCCACGGAGCAGCGCGTGGCGAGTTTGGGCGTGGCCTAGAGCTACCGAGCGGAGTAGTCGCACGCTGGCTGTCATGGACGTTTCTCAGCGCTGTGTGCCGCTTTTGGATTGATTCATGTTTACCATGAAATTTTTAAAGTTATGATGTAGGAAATAGGGTTCAACTTAAAATTTTAAATTCTCAATAACTTCGCCGCAGCTCTCCCGGTGTGCACTGCGCCTTTAACTAGTAATGAAATGATAATATATATTTGTTAGTCAAGAGTTTGATGGCGCAAGTGATAAGCGCATTCGGTCTGCAATCGTGGAAATTGAGCATCTTTCGCCATGGTCAAATATTATCATTAGATGGGTGACCAAAAATTTCTTATCTCGAGCTCCTCTGTGCTTCGGAAGGTATGCGGCTTAAGCCGTTGACCCCGGCTGCATCTGTAGTCATTAGAACCCACCTCTGCACTGGGCCCGCATGGTGGGTTATGGCATGATCCGTGGCTATAGAGCAGTATTATTGAATGATTAAAGGAATTTATCTAAATAAAGTTCGATCTGAACTGTACTGTTACCGCCGAAGAGATTTATTTTTCTTTACTATGTAGTACCCTCAGTAAAACCAGCCAGTCCGCATACAGTTTAGAGCGTAGAAAAAAAAAGTGGAAGGTATTCCCTCTCATCACCACGCCGCCGCTGCTCTTTGGTTCGATGCTCATATGTTTTAGAGAAAAAGAGACAAAATTGACGATGTTATTATAGATAACTATTTTATATAACAGATAAGAAAATTCTAAAGTCCATTTAAATATGACAATACTTACGTAAGAACATTAATCTAGCTAGGTCTTAATTTTTCTTAAGCGTGGATTGAGTTAGAAATAAAGGTTCACTGCTCGTTCCCCGTAGGTGATAGCGTAATAATATGTAGCTTATATGTTGACCCGACTTCTTTATAATATTCGTGCTAAATTTGAAGTAAATCCATTCAGTACTTTTGAGTTTATCCCGGACATACATACACACAAACAGACAAAAATTGTAAAACCTATATTTTTGGCTTCGGTATCGATTGTAAATCACACTAAAAGTATTCTTTTAAAACAATATTCAATGTACAGTTTTGACTTTCCTACCATTTTATCATATGTATAGATATAGATAACTATATTTAGTGACACTTGGTACCTTTTATCAACTGTTGATGTGATATCGTGTCTACAAACTCAGCAAGTAAGGTTTTATCGATGAACAAAAAAAAGACAACCATTTTGTGCATTTTCCTTTATTTAAATCGATGTACCACATAAAAATTTACTGTACACAGATTTTATTTTACTTATAAATACTAAAGTGATTTGGGTAGGCATTTTAGTCAGTCATTTAGAAAACATTTTAAAGTCAAAAACAATCATTTGCAAAAAACCATAAATTACTACATTTCGCAACTTCTGATGATATTCCTGATAGCTAAGCCAGATAAACTAGACATTCTGATTCCACGGGTCTTATATGGAAAATTCTTGCAGAAAAAAAGCATATTAGCACCCTTTGACTCTTGTCTTGTCTCTTATGTGGCAAATAAGTATCTGGAACTTATAATATACACATTTTTAAATTTACAGAAGTAAATTAGACCACAAGACTATAGTTAAATGATAGATATTTCAATGCACATTTGTAACTGACAGAAATGCAAGCTAATAAACATTTTTGTAACTTAACATGGACTCTTGCAAATGACAGTACTTTGCATTTTGTTTTTTTTTCTCATGAAACTAGAGCTATAAAATTATATGTACCTACTTAAGAGTATGCTATGTATTAATAAACACACAATGTTCGTGGTACAGTTTAAATCTGTTATTTACAATAAAATGATTTCTAGGTAAACAACATTTAATAGCTCTAGTTTCCATTTAAAAAAACAAAGTTTGATAAAAACAATGTATTATATACCTATAATAAACTTAAGTTAATGTTAAACTATATAAAGTCTATTCACCAACCGATTATAAATTATATTTCATATGTTCAACTCTTAATTGTAACTGCGGACACGTTTAACGATATTTTAACAATCTTCTACTTAAGAATAACAAATAGAACTGTAGATACTATAATATAATTATAGAGTTTAACCAACAAAACTTGTAACAATTATCATAAATGTTACTTTTATTCCCGATTATTACTCTTTTGAAAAGGGGATAAACAGATAGCTTGTAAGTACTTACGGAATTAGAAATAGATCCAAAACGTCAAAATATAAATACACTTTCATAACAATGCGTTCGTTTAGTTTAGAAGTATTTTGTTCAATTGCAACATTTTCTTCAAGTTGCTCGATTGGAACAGATACTTGTAAATTTTCTTTTAATGAAAATTCATGGATAAATAAAGTTTTACATTGGCAATTTGGTACGTTATTACCTGTACAAGTATTATTTGCAGTTTTTTTTTAATAACTTTAAGGTGTCAAGTAGAAGTTAAATTAAGACGATTAAAATTTGACGCTTTCACCGTTTACGTAATGATTATAAATATGATTGAAGGATTTTAATAGAAACTAAAAAAAATACATAATTAAATTCACTTTTGGTCAATTAATGAGAAATACGAAATACGCCCTTTATTAATTATTTTAGACCTTTTATTTTGACATTTTAATTTTCAACCAGCCATTTAATTTTGAATTAATGAAGGTTAAATCATTTTGAAACGGTGATACCGTTACACCCTATTAACTCTATAATAATGGCAGCTATAGGTAGATAAGTACCATCGATCCAAACACTCGACAGATCCAATCCCTAATTAATTGTATTTACTCAGTTTGCCTCTGACAGCGTTCGAATTCAAAGACTTCAGTTAATAGCTTATATTAATACCAACAACATGAGGCGTTGTTCCTTCATACGTATGACTAAACACGAAATTAACATAATTAATATTTGATTTATTGCGTACCTCTGTGCGTAGGTATACTGAGATAAGTATGTCAAATTTCGCGAGCATCGAGTAATACCACGATCATAGTGCGATCCATTTGTATCAATAACGAAATAATTAAATTTCGGATTAGAATTCGAGTAAACCTTAATTATATTGGCATTGAATCCTCTGGCTTTTGAGACCAAATGCCAAAATTAGCATGTAAAATAGATTTGTGATATTATTAGCAACTAAATTATACCATATATCAACATCTACCCAAGTTCACAAAGCTTTTAGTACAAGATCCCAGACCTTACTTATTTTGTCATAGACAAAATATAGATAATAAAGTAGTATTGTGTATAATTAATGTATACATACTCGCTAACTTGTGCTGTGGGCCTGTTATTTAAAAAAAATACTCACTTTACTTACAGTCTGAGGACTGATTCCTGTGTATGTTTTAGAGAATATTATACACTATTTGAAATTATTAGTTTAATTTCATCCACAGTTTTTATTGCCAGATACTTTGAATGTACTTATCTTTTTACTTTTGAGTAAAATACACAACCTTGCTTATTTTGTGCAATATTTTTGATAACTATATAATAAGAAGTACAACACTCATAAATCCGCACTGGGTAGGATAAGGATATTGGATAATATCCTTTGTTTATCCAAAGAGAAGGCCTATACCCCAGCAGCAATCAATATCCCCAAAACTAAAAAAGCTGATGATAATAATGAATCAACCCTCATGTAATAACAGTTCGCTATCACTTTTATTTAATGACCGAAGAATTGTTAGTATGTATAATTATTATTTTTCCTAATTTCTATCAGTTTCAATGAAGTGAAATTAATTAACAGCGTAAGAAAAACAAACTCTTTCGTCTTAGTTAAAGTCTTTCGATTCGTTTTTGGTAACAACATATTACATACAATTGGCTATCAAGAGCTGCTAACTTTGTAGACAGATCTGTCAGGGAATATTATAAAGTTTGTGTAAGATTTGTAAGCGATGAGTTGGTAACTTCTACTGTTGGTAACAAACAAGTAATTAAGAAATCTAGCCAAATAATGGAGCTACAAATGATAGTACCTGGTTGTAATTCATTATGGAAGCTTCAGGATTTGTGGATAACTTTAAATGACTTCCTGACGGGCTCCATCCAATACTTAAGAGCATTTTTAACCAACTTGGAAAAGGAAGAGGTTAATTACTTTAGTGATTATTAAGCAGCTTTATTTCGATCGATATTTTGAATGTTCAATGGTGAAGTAAAAGTCAAGATTCTCGAAAATATGTCTGTAGAAAATTTGGAAACTAACCTCGAAAAATCAATGCGTTTTATCAACCTCTCGAAGACGGGTTTGAGGTATATACACCACAGATTACTTTGTTTCCCTTTAATTTTTGATATCAGTCAAATATATTTTGAAGAGTTCGTGTGTTTTGATACAAAATATTTTTCCATAATGTTTGATAGCCACTACTCTCAAAACTGTTTCGAAGCGTAAATTTTATATTATATTGGTTATCGAAGAACTTGTATGTTACTTTATTTTAACCATTTTAACAAACATAACTAATTTGTTTAATTATTCTGTTTTTGAAACTACGTTCTGTTATTGGTTCGTTAAAAGTTGAGAACTTTCATTCGACCTTCTTCTCTCGATATGACTGAAACTAGATATTCAATAACTACAAATACATAAATTCAACAAAGTTACTTTAGTAATTTTAAGTTCGGTTATATTAAGTCTCCGACCTTCATTTAAAATAAAATAGAAACTAAGTGAATTACACAATTTCATTCTACAGATTCTATATTCAATTCATGAATTAACAATAGTAACCTATAGAGTATATTCTTTTAGAATAAAATGAAGTTTGAGCTTTTCAAAGGCAAAAAGAGGTCGTTGTGAAACGCAATTTTTGCTAGCAATGTCGTTCTGTTTTTCGACAATATTATTTTGTCGCAGTTGAACTCACAAAAAAGCGTCACACTCATTTCCGTGGCACGCCCGAGCTGTTCACTGTACTCATCGTTTTGCTGGCATGAATCGGCCCACAACGGAAACATTTGGTCCAAACGGCACGCATAATAATATATTCATTCTGTAACTGCCGCTAGATCAAATACATTCCCCTAAAACACAACTACCTACTCACACCAACGTACCGTGTCCGCAGTTTGTGATTGGCGCTATTTAAAATTTATGAAAAGTTTCCAATTAATATCACAGTTTCCATATTTTAAAAGTAGTAGTACATTACAAACTCGTCTAGTCTGAACTATTTACACTTCGCTACACAAACTAGAAACAGTAAGTCCTTGACACATCTGAACACTGGGCTTTGTCTTGCTGTCACCCGAAGTAGTACTGAGCGTTCGAATATCTGTATAAACTCCTCGTGTTAGGGTCCGTTTCGTTTTGCACCTGCACTCTTGGTAATGTCTTGACTGCTACTCCTCTGCCTAACGTGCCGTGTGGCATTGTTCTAAGTGGCATTTCTATAGGGAATTCGGCGACTTGTCCGTACATATTTGTGCTGACGTGTGGGTAGGTGTTAGGTACAGGTCGTCCTACGTAACGATTAATTTTCGGGCTGAGTGCTACGTTTGTGAATGGCATTTCTGGCTTGAGGCCCGAGTCGACAGTATCGACGGGTCCAGATAGGCTTGTGATATTGATATCGTTGTCTACTTCTGATATGCTGTCGTTGAAACCGTTGGGGATTTCAGTGGTGGCTGACACGTCCGGGCCCTTGGGCTGTTCTGTGCTACGTTTGTTGACGACGCAACGAACTATACCAACTATTATACATAAGAGTAGAGACACCGCGACTGCCGCTATGATGTAAACATACATCATGTCAAACTGACCTGTGGACAAAAAATGATTTTAGTGAAGATTATAAACAAAAACTTTTCTTAAAAATCTGTGTTTTAATAGTGGCAATTCACATGATACGGATTTTTTTCTTATTCTTGAAAGTCTATTTTTAAAGAAGGGAGGTATTTAAATTTGAATGGTATCGCTAAACGTCAATAATATCTCCTATAAGATATCGTATCTTCTGTTTACAAGTATTAAAAACAAAGGGTTCTTGGCAAGAGTCGTAAAAACGGGAACTTTCGTTAGAACTATATAAAAGCCATTATGAATAAGTATCCTGTTATTTCGAAAAGTTCCATTTACTACGACAGTAATAAAATATTTTATTTCTGACTAAGCTGCTTTATTATATTTATAATTGGTTTTTAATATAAATATCATCCATAGCTTTCTTTAAATAAACTTTATCACAACATAAGACTGAATAATAAAACGAAAAATTATGTAGTGTTCTAAAGCATACTTTTTTTTTTTTACTTTGGTGACAATATTAAGCAAATTATTATTAAACAGCCTTTGCTGAGTTTCTTGCCGGTTCTTTGTAGCTTCTAGACATTCGCTCTAGTACAGGTAATTTTATAAGCTAGTACAGACACAGATGATACAATAAAATATAATTTTTATTCTATATTCTAAGTTATACTGTAACTTCTGATGTCTGACTCTTATAAAACTGGCTTGTGAAATAAATACACTATATTATTATTTATGAGCGCTTGTAACAGTCTAAACTTGATAAATGATTTTTATTTTGAGTTTGATAAAACTTATAAATTTCGCTATCCGATAAAAGTAGCCGTTTTAAATGTTTCTTGAGCATTCACCACAAAATTCAAAGTAAGAATGAAGCAATAGATAAATGACGATTCTTCAAGAAAAGTATATACCTACTTATACTATTATGTTGTCATAATTTTTAACAGATTTTATGTTATAATGTCACTTACTTACTAAATATAAATTTAAAGAAATCCTCGTAAAGTTAGTCAGCATCCATCAAATTATGCCATGAATATAACAGCAAGTGTGTCAGCAAAGTGTTTAGCAATTCGAGTTTACGATTGAAAAACAGCTAAGTTCTCTTATCAAAACAGGAATTACTGCGTTAATAGAAAATAGCAGTCAACAAACTTCAAAAACAAAATTATAATTCTATTTTTATTTTAATCGTTTGTATTACGGAGTAATGGACCTTAAAACTTTTCCAACAGTATTTATTTTGCCAACACACAAAGGCATAGCTATTATGTATTTTATTTAGCACCCATTGTTAGATACCTATTGATATTAAGTAATTTATTTGTGGTAAATTGTGTTTAGGCCTAGTTGGGGATCATCGTTAATCTTTGTTTGTCTATGTTCAACAATGAAGCCAACATTATTTTATATTATTATTGATGTATGTATAGATTTTATGAAAAGTAAATTATAAGCATTGTTTCTCAAATACATGCATGCATAGGGTTTATATAAGACCTGCAAAAAAAAATGGATGCGTGTAACTTATGTACGCGCGTGAGAAGTTATACTTCTTTAGCATCATTAAAAATATTTTTTAATTGCATGCAAATAATTAATAATTACAATAAAATAATAAAAGGACTGGAAAAGGATAGTTAACACAGTCAATTAAGTTCAGTTTTAATTTGAAAAATTAAATAAATATTCAAAATATTCAATTAAAATCACTACTGAATTTAAGTTATTAGTCCATATGTAATTAGCACTTGTAAGTAACTAAAACACGTTGTGTCTATATAGAAACTAGAAACATGTGGATAAATATTATAAATATGAAAACAGTGATCAGAGGCGACGAGCGTGCCAACATTGTTTTTAACAACGCGATCATCTTATGGAGCTCCGTGGATCGTTCAAAGTACCTTTCGAACAGATGTCTAATAATGGTGGATTATTAACCACTTAGTGGCACATTCATAACGCGCCCGCGGCCAACTTCATGGTGTTACTATTGTGTTACAGTGATGCGCACGCATCTCGAAATTTCACTCACATGATTTTTTCATAACGCGCCCGCGGCCAACTTCATGCTGTTACTTTTGGGTTACAGTGATGCGCGCGCATCTAAAAATTTCACTCTCATCATTTTTTCATAATGCGCCTAAAGAAGTATAACTTCAAAAAACTTTATTTTTAAGCAACTGTTACTCATAATCTTTTTTCTACACTAATGCTGTAAAACCTCTATAAAAGACTCTGAAACAGTTAGCTTATATCAATATTAAAACATCCAATATCCTGATTACCTTCATAGTAGGTCTTTACCTATGAAATTTCTGTTCTGCCGTACTGACTATTTTAAAGCCAATGTTTTCTTTCCATGTTCAAATTACTTTTATTTTTTAAATTATAGATTTTTTCACCAGCTTCCACTGATGATCCTCAATCTACAGCTGAATTAGCAGCAGCTTTCGATGTTAGCATTAAAACAATATTGATTTATTTACTTCAAATTGGTAAGGTAAAAAAGCTTGACAAATGGGTATTAGTAAATAAATCTTATTAATAAAATCTGATGTTTTTTCTCACTTAATCTTACTAAATAAGTTTTATTTAAAAAAAACCTGATGTTTTTTCTCACTTAATCTTAGTGAATAAGTTTTATCGAAGAAAAACTTTTATTGCTCACTCTACCTATTTTGTTTCAATTGACAGCTTTAACATCACAAAATGGCGCCCAGTCGACCCTATTCTTAGTTGAATCGCATTATATTCTTTTTATGAAATCCAAAATAATATGTTATGTTATGTATATATATAGAGAAGCAATTCCTATATACTTATCCTATAAAACAGTGTACTGCCTGTAAAAAAAGGTTGAAGTACCCACCATCTTTCCCTAAATGATGCCTCGGAGGCGATGCGGACGGAGGGTCTCTTACAATACTCGTTGCGTTGATACTTGTTGATATCGAGGGTCGTTGAGGCGGCACGGCAGCCACCGCCGGCGCCGGAGGCACTGCCGAATCCACCCACCATCTGTCGCCCGAATCATCTAGTACAAAAAAAAAAGGGTGAGCCTTCCTTGTGGTATTGAAAAGCCTTGGATACCGAGCAAGTACGCTGGACATAATTTGTCATTACCTACTTTGACGCGGTACGCGGAACGTAATATGTTTCTTTGTTTCAGACCAGGGGGTCTACTCTCTTTTTCCGAAACGAATTTTCGATAACGAAGTTCAAACGAAATTTAATTTCGTTAAGGTTATACTTAATTTGGACGATAAATTATCAAATAGAAGCTTTCTTTGAGTAGGCTTAGAAAATTTACACCTTAATCTATATTCCGACGACGAATATTATTATAATTAAAAACGAACCAGAAACATAGTAAGAAAAGTGCGAAGTTTCGTTCGAAATTTCGTTTTTCGTTGAATTAGAGTAGGCCGCCTGGTACGATTAACAATATTATTTTCAGTCACCATCTTGAGATCGAAACGCTAACGTAATTTAGCCGGCGTTGTTTCATCCATAGTTAATTCGACTATGGTTGTAACCTTAATTGTGAAACTTCGAAAGCTTAACTGTGACAGAGCTTGATCGATAATATTTTATACTTATTGGTACCCGTGTTGGTACCCGCGGTTTATTAGGGATATTTTTCCGCAGTTAAACGTAGCTTAGATGTTAATTCAGGGTGTCAGCTAACGGCATACCAAATTTTATTAAAATCGCTGTAACTGTAAAACGGCTGGCCGTTTAGACATGATAAAGCAACAAACATACACACTCACAAACTTTCGCCTTTATAAGCTTAGTGTGATTAATTTAAAGAGAGAACGCATAGCGAATTGCCTGCTTCAATCGAGGCGTCCGACTGGAGAAGTAAGAGCGGGAGCACACGATGCGTTGCGGCGGCGTTGCGGTGCCGGAGTGGTGTCGCTGCATCTTACATAGAAATATCTGTGGCATGTCACACGATGCGCTCTGGCACCGCACCGGACTTGCAACCACCGAGACGAAGCGGGGAGGGGTGACTGCGTTGCGACGTCGGACCGGCACCGCTCAGTTGTTTATGCGTCATAGAGAATGTATGCGCGCGCCGCTGCGGTGTAACAACGTTGCGGCGCCGCACCGCTCGTGTGCCCACCGATGCGAAATCTTTGCTGTGCGGCGTCGCAACGCATCGTGTGCTCGCGCACTAATCTTTACCTCACAGAATATAATTAATATAGTAAATTAATTTTGTTTCTGTCGATGAGTAAGGTTCTAGTGCTTCATGTTTGTAGGCAACGTGCGAGTAAATAACGTAATCTGGAATATCAAGATGTGTCTATGTCTACATTGTGTCTATAGGATACGGTGACCTCTTACCATCAGGCGGGTCATCTGCTTGTTAGCTACCCCTTTCAATAAAAAATCAAACGAGATCTTAAATAAAAAATAAACCTATACGCTGTGCACGAAAAATAATTGTCTTTTCTCGTGTCCCTTAAAAATAACTTACTTGAGCCGAGAATATGAATTCGGTATTAACTCTTAATACGCTTACTTACGTAGACAGAAGAATTAAAATTATCTTCGCAAGGAAGTTTATTATCCCCGCCGCTATACAAAGCGAGACACAAGCGAAGAAATTTGCTTAAGCCTCCCTTATCCTTTCTTAATTTGAACTCGTGCAATCTACAAGGATTTGTTTGGCTCGCTGATGGTACACTTCTTTGCTTTGTCAGTGTAAAAACGGATTACCGGATGAAATATCCTCGAACGCGAGTTGGTTCGTGACGACTCATATTCTAACTCTATTAGTGACGTCACAGTTCTGTCTCGTCAGCTTCTTAAGGAAATCCCCTCGAGGATTCTCGCAGAAATATTTTCCGCAGTTACTGTGAACGTATTTTTTCTTGCTGTTAGTGTTAACCTATAATATAAGTGGTGTTAGAGTGAGATAATACTCGTCCTCATTTGATTTATTATGGAATGAACTTGTGATCGTTGCTGTAACTAGACAGTGGTCTGTGATTTCGCTTTGTGTTGCTATATTAATTTGGCTGATAGTTAATAAAGTTGGTTAATATACAAAGACTTAAGAAAATTTTAATAGAAAAGAAACTACTCGGCAGAGGCCATTAGACTTTTAGATGCGGGATTCGAACACGCATCTGATGACGACCTCCGGGGCCGAGTGGTTGTACGCCAAATTTCAAGGTGTCGCCTACTCGAGAGGTCCCGGATTCTAATCCCGGTGGGGGCAGATGTTTGTGGATAAATACGAGTATTTGTACTCCAGTTATGTATGTTAAATATGTATTTCTATATAAATATACTTATATATGTATCAGTATATATATTCTATCCGTTACCGTAGTATCCCACAACACAAGCCTACAGTGTTTTATTTTGGACTAGGCTAATTGGTATGTGTTGGAAATACAAAAAAAATGTTTCACTAACCGGGTGGCATAAGGACTACTAGAAGAAATTCGACACGGCCATTAAGATCTCGATAGCATAATTGGTAAGTGCATACGTCCGGATAGCGGAAGATGCGGCTTCGAATCCCACCTGACGACTGCGTGGATTTGTTTTCTAGTAAAATTTTCTTTATTTTTATAAATTTGGCAGTCTAATGCTTAAAAAAACGCCTTTTTTTGCTTTTTCATTATTACAATATATTGATACATTCACTTATCCCGTTCAAAGACGTATTGGCTTATCATATTACTTATAGATTTGTCCTTAACAACAAGGCCGGTTTATCACATAACATTTTTATGGTGACTAAACATGGGATAATTTACTATAGGGAAAATGTACTTAGAGTCTGTGTGGAAAGAGAATGGGCGTGGCGAAAAACGGAACTAACATTAAGATTTTTATTTGGCAATCAAACTCAGCAATCTGTAAAACGTCAAAGTTTTGTATTGATACAGATTTGTTTGTTGTTGTGATTTCTGGCGATTTTTTGTATTTAATCATGTCTAAAGGGGGTAAAACTTTTACAAATACAGTAGAATAGCACCACAGCGCCCTCTAATCTAAATCTCATTCTCTTTCCGCACAGACTATCTGATTTATTTTTCGTCTGAAAGTTGATTCAGTGTGTCTTTAGCATAATGTGAAAATGTAAAAAAACCCTTCATAGACAGCATTACGCGATATTTTTTACGAGGTAGCAGGGGTTTAATGATGCGAATATATTTTATTATTTAACATTCAATTCACTGTGAAAGTCAAATACAGTTTTTATGGTGACAGTGGAATAAATCTTATATCTCCCTTTCGGTTTGAAAACGATAAAAGCTTAGTGCTTTAAATAACGAATCGTTCGGAAATATAAAAGAAGATTGATTGTGACGTTAAGGAGCTCTTAACACAAAACGTGCGTTCATACTCACTGACATCTTTAATTGATGTTGCAAAGGTATTGAGTTTGTCAACCCCTCCTGAAAGCCTTGTGAAAAATATTTCTGATGCAGGATATTTTCTTTTCTTTTAGTTTGAAATTTGAGGTTTCTATAAGACCTATATAAAGTGCTTAATAAATAAATACTTAACTGAATACTTAATTAAGCTTGAAAATATAAAAAAATGGAATATAGCTTCTCATTATTCGTAATGTCTGGCCATAGAGTTTGTAGAAATCATTCGAATAATTTTTCTATATTCAAAAATTATATTTAGTAAATAGAAAAACTTCTTCATCATTTATAATTTGTTTATGATGGGAAATTAAACAGATCAATAATTGTGTTAAATGTCATTGGATTTTCAGTTCAATAAATATGGTTTAAGTGATTCAAGTTTGTCCTTTGAAATAAAACTAAGCTAAATATTAGTGAAAAAAGTATAAGAAATACTTAAGGTGCTAAACACTTGCTCCAAAATTTCTTAATAGAAATTGATTTACCTTAAATTTCTCCAGATTCAAACATTCTTGATTAATCGTTGATTGTTTTTTTTCAACTTCATTTCAATTTCAACTTTAACTTTAGTAGGACATTATGTATAAGTACTAGTACACGCACATGATACGTTAATATAGGCACGTAGGTACTAACAGCCTCCATCACTGCCAAAATCAAATCAATCAATAGTATACATAATTTTCTGATTTGATAAAAAAGTGGAAAGACAGCTTCATTTAAAACTGCATAGCCCCAAGAAATAGTAATTACATAAATTATGAATTATTCATAAATATGAAGCATTCAAATTGTCAACTATTAAAATTCCAAGTCAGCAACTTGGATTCGTCGGAAAAAAAACATGTTAAATTAATACACACATCAAAAGTGTCTAGGGATCAAGCATTTTTATGCGGATTTCTTGAGATTGAGATGTGGCTTTGTAATAAATTTATGATTTTATAAATTTATATGGATCCTTTTTGGTGCATTTCATAATTTGAATCAGGAACTGTGAATCAAATTCGAGTAAAAGATGAAAATCAGCTGTCAATATTTTCCCTATAAAAACATACAACGCATTGAAGACATTATTAGTGCTACTGTTTCCCTACTACTGATTAAAACCAACGTTATTATGGAGCGGCGACGTCATTTAAGCAGGGAAGAAATGCTCAGAGCCGTGGGAATGATAGAAGCTGGTTCCCGGCAACGTACTGTGGCTTTAGCTCTGAATATAAGTCAGAGTGTTATCAGTCGACTTTGGACACGATACCGAAGCACTGGTACCGTGGCTGAGCGCCATGGAGGACGGTATCGCTGCACCACACGGAGACAAGACCGATACATTCAAATCTTAACTCGAAGAGCTCCAACAATAACCGCCATGATGTTAGCCGTGAGGCTTCATCACTCTTCAGGGAACTTAATTAGCGACCAAACAGTCAGAAACCGCTTGCATGAAGTGAACCTTCATTCCCGAAGACCGCTACGGGTACCACCTATAGCAATGCACAATCGTAGGATTCGATATCAATGGGCTCTTGAACACAGAAATTGGGCAGAAGAACAATGGCGTTTCGTGTGCTTTTCTGATGAGTCTCGTTTTGGTATGAGACCGGATACAAGACGTATACGACACTGGAGAACCCCTGGACGCCAACAGCGATTAAAATCCTGCCAGGAAGTCCATCCTTATAGTGGTGGAACCATCATGGTATGGGCGGGTATTTGGATCGGCGGAAGAACTGAGTTGATTTGGATCAGAGGCAACCTCAACGCTCAAATTTATGCTGAGACGATTGTATCAGACGTCATCGTTCCTCTACAAGTGCAAATCGGTCCCTTATTTCAGTTAATGCATGATAATGCACGACCGCACACCGCAAGAGTTGTAAGACAGACTCTCGCCGCAGCTAACATCAATGTCCTGCCCTGGCCTGCTCAGTCGTCAGACTTGAACCCGATTGAGCATGCATGGGATATGCTACAGAGAAGAGCTCTGCCGAATATGGAGGGTATCCAGTCGCAAGAAGACCTTTTTTTTGTTGTTGCAACGAACATGGGCGGCCATTCCACAGCGTGATTTGGATGAACTCATTTTGAGTATGCCAAACCGATGTTCTTGTGTTGTTAGTGTTCGCGGTAGAAATACGGATTATTAATTGTTTAAGTTACCCAATAAAATTTTAGAGAAAACTGTTATTTCAGTCTTTTTTTCGAACTTTTGTGTTAGTGGTTCAAATGTCAAAAATCCCTTTATTAGGAAAATGGCAAATTTCTTTATTAATGCAAAGGTGACTTGGTTTATCGTTACTGTGACAAACGAAAACACTTTATTTGATGAATCCTTAAAGAAAATTTTAATTAATATCAATCAGGAGAAAAGTTATTGCAAAAATATATGTTGATCCCTAGACACTTTTGATGTGTGTATTACTGGAAATGCAAAGGTTAGGAATAACCACATGTGGTCGTATGGTAGCGGTTTCTGCCGCTTTCTAAGTGTGTCACAATTGGTGTCAAAATGCTGATGGGTAAATATTAATTCAATAAACCAATATTAATCTAAATACTAAAAAAGTAATAATAACAGTAACAATGAAACATTTTTGGTGAAGTTAATAACACATATAGTTATAATAACAATAATAATTGAATTATCTATTTGTATTAATCACGTCAGTGACGTTTCACGTCACGCGCTTTCTAGGAAGAACTGAAAACCAGTGATTCGCTCCCTCAAAGCAAAGGTATCGCTGAGTTTTGCCTTTTTCTGCCGTTGCGGCACACAGTTATATATTTAGTAACTAATTCTTCTATTTGTTTATTTGAATTTGTGGACTTTACTGATGGGAATAAATGATTTATCTATCTATTCAAGTTGCCCGCTCTTGGAATGTGACAAACGTAAGACGTCTTCTATACGAAGTTCGTTAGGAACGATCAAGTTAAGAGGCTTGGAATTTGTAGAGGTTTCCATTTCATAGTCAAATAAGATCTTATTTTGATACTCTTGTGTGCACAAGAGTACACAGAAAGAGGGTAGAAAGGCCTCGTGGGCGACACGGTGGCGTACAAGACATGACGTCATGCGATATTTGAAATGAATATACCTCTGTAATGTTTTCATTATAAATAAATAATAAATAAATAAATATTTCCAACACTCACACCAATTAGCCTAGCCCCAAAGTAAGCACAGTAGGCTTGTGTTATGTTATACTAGGGTAACGGATAGAATACATATACTGATACATGTATCCGCATATATATATATAGAAATAGATATTAAACATCCATGACTGGAGTACAAATGCTCGTATTCATCACGCAAACATGGGATTCGAATCCGGGACCTGTCGAGAAGACGACATCTTAAGATCCAGCGTACAAACCACTCGATCACGGAGGTCGTCAAAATTATATGGGTAGTGAAAAAAACACGTGTTCAATAGTTTTTGATAAATCTACCTGAAAAACAAAGAAAACAATGTTTGTATCATCCCCATTGTTCGTACAAAGCAATAGAATTAACCACATAAAGACGTTGCTAATGTCAGCATTTATTAAAATGTTAACCGTAAATAAGACTTCAACGTTTTTAGACTACAAATTTTATCCAGTCAGTCTTGGTTAGTACAATCATTATCACAAAGGTATCGTAACTACATCCAAGCACGGAAATTACTAGCAAGAGGAATACCATAAACTTCAAACTGGTCTAGTGCAATTAATGTAATCACAATTGCGAAAACCTTTTATAAGGTACAAAAGATATCTGAGAAAGTTCTCTGCTAAATTCACTGTAATACTCGCGGAGAAAACTTTAGATATAATAATATAGTGTTTTAATGCTCAAAAGAAAAATTTTAAAAGTAAAGAATTTTTTGCTAGAAAAAATCGACGCGGACCAGGCAGCAAACGGAACTCGAACCCGCACCCTCCGTTATCCGGGCGGGTGCACTGACCATTATACTACCGCGGCCCTAATATCCATGTCGAATTTCTTCAAGTATTTCTATGAAACCACGATGCAAGTGGAACTTTAAAAATCATTAATAAAAACAAATGTAATTTCTGGGCTGGGATTCGAACCCTGGCCGCACGCGTAGCTGACGAACTTTCTACCACTGTACCACAGATGCTTGTTAATGAAGTTTGATTTTTTTTATAACAATCAAAAATGTAACAAACAGGTCGCCTTAACAAAAAGAACTTTGGGGAACTCGCTCCAATTTTTTTGTCCCAAACTTAGTACTGTACTGTAAGTATGGACATGAAATGACGTATAGTAAACTCAAAAAAACAACTACATCAAAAACTTAATATTAATTTGCTATAAATAGATAGTTTCTTAGAATAGAAGGTAGCAAAGGCTATGTTCTGTTTTATTTTACTATCGTTCTCAGACCAGTGATGGTTTCGTGGTTTTTAATGTAAACCGCAGCAATGACTTTTTAAACAGCAATTCCGTACAGCTTTGTCGATGCGTCGGTTATATTACGCCAACAAAAATCCGTTTAGGTATGATTGCCGAAATTATAAAACTTCGGTTTAATATTTACATAACTGATTGATTTTTGCTTCCTAATAAAAATGTTCACTAGAATAATTTTGATTTTATAAGATTTTGAGTTTTCCCTCGTTTCGGCTTCGTACGGGTTAACGATTAAATGTTTTAATCTAAAAATAGCATACCTGATTGCGAAATTTTGGATGCCATGTAGTAATTTTCTTTTACGCAAACCTTGACCAAACTTCAAATTAAGTACTTAATAAAAACAATGTCATAAGAATTCCTGTCAGAAGAGAACGTGTAAGACAGACTCATACAATTATTATGAGTTTTAATTTGTCCTACTATTTTCCTCACAACTTTGTTAACTTCATTGTTAAACTCAACATATCATTTTAACTAGGTTTCCCTTAGCTCATGTTTTGAAGTGTCCATCTTTGTTTTATAAAGTTTATTACTTGGGATAACTGTACCACTCTCGAGAAAATTAAAATGGATTTTTATATAATTGAGTCTCTATTAAAAACTTGTGGTAAACTTTTAAATTAAAAGTTCTTTCAAGTTGAGTAAGAAACTTCAGGTAACAAAAAAATTACAAGTCAAAAAGCAGTGCTTGTTTATGCAGAAGAAAAACGATAATTGCTAAACGAAATAACTGTTTATAAAAAATAGTGGCGACAAGGATCCATAAGAATGTGAGTGACAGTTCAGGGAGCGAGTTGCTGTCTATGTAAGTGACCGTAAATGACATACAAAATGATGTTTACAGAGATAGCGGCGTCAGTGTCAATTTTCGCCACATTCATAAAGATCCCTATCACAGTATATAGTACAAATAAAGGTTAAAACTTGTAATTTGAAGAACTCGATGGCTCAGGGGCTCGCACTGGGGTAGCCCTGCGATTGAGAAAGTTATGCAACTTTCGCAATTTGCTCGTCATAAGATGGGTGGCCAAAATGATATCACCGCGAGCATTTCGTTGGCGTCTGCAGTCGTTAGCATCCACTAATCCGATGTGCACTGGACCCGTTACCAAACTTATTTTTTGTAATTAATAGAAACCTTATTTTTAGAATCCATTGACTATAACAAAAAAAATGTTAACAAAAGCATAAATAAGTAAAGAGTAAGTAAGTATAAAAATATCGTCTTAATTACAAACCTTGAGTGCTGACACTGCTGTCTGGTTACTTAAGCGAAAAAAAACACTTACCCACATCGTCGTGTTCGATGTCAGACACGTCATGGGCAACTTCATCCTCTTCAGGGGCACTTTCGTATCTCTCCTTCAGGACTGTACGCGGCACTGCAGACAAAAACCAAGTTTAAAATCTACTACCTAAGCATCACTTTTCATTGCCACAAACTCAAGTGTTCGACTTAATAACAGTGGCTCATTACGGCAAAGATTCTTTGGGCAGGTTAATTTTAGATTTTAGGGTGCTTCACTTTGAGGGTATTTTTAAAGCTCAAGTGAGCAGACGCTTTATGACAAAGAAACCATTTTTGTGGTACGTGACTTGTTGTTCAAAATATATTTTCAATGACGGGCCCCCTCTTGAATTTGATTACTGCTTATCGTTAAGTAGGTAAGGGAATAGGGGAGATCTTTACATTTTTTGCTTGTAAGTCATGATTACAATAACATTTGTTATAGATCGCGCCAAACTTCTAGTATGCTCTGAAGTTGCTAGGCTCAGGTATACAGTCGTATACATAATCTTTGTCCAACTATATATATAGCGGTTTTTGTTACTACGACGTTGTGCAGTGTTCAGAGCGGACTAGAAGATTGGCGTGATCTGTATACGACTGTACACCTGCGCGAAGTAACTAGAGCGGACTAGAAATTTGTAACCTGTATGTAAGTGGTAGAATTCCAAAGCAATTATATTTTATTTACACTCATTACCTAATATATTTCTTAGAGCCGGAGTGCCTCTAAGAAATAGATCACCCGAGTGGTTTCGGTCACGTTTGACAATTTGTCTATTTGTGCGCGGGAAAGTTTATAGCAGGTGCATACTATGTAGTGATTATAATGAACCTCTCCAAAAAAAAGACATCTAGCTCTGTGTTTTGTTCGGAACACAATACGCGAGCCCCACAAAGGATCTGCAAAACCAATCTAACTTTGAAATTTTCACCGACTATTCTATAGCCTAGCATAAAACCGCATGTCATTCTAATTCTGGTCGAAACCGGTTTTAATTTGTTAGCACTCTTTTTTCCATATATTTTGTTATTGTGTAGCTTAATTGAGGCCCCTAGGCATAGGCTTTATTGTATAGTTTTTTTATGTTTCGATTGCTTAAAATATCTCTTTATTTCTATTGGAGCTGCAAACGATGATTTTAAAATTAAAATGATACGTCATGTATTTAGAGCTTTTGATTTTTTTGAGTTCTCGTCGAGACGAGAGTACTTAACGAACTTGTTTTTAATGCAAACTTGAAAATTTGTACAAATAAGAAATACTTAACTAGTTTTTCACGACCTAGCGTTCGTCATGATTGCATTTACATATAAGTGAATCCGTCTAGTAAACGTGTATTCTACGGATTGATATTGCATTCACTTGATAATTGTATGAAAACATCTTTCAATCATCTTCATACTAACATAAGTCTTATGACAGTTTTTTGAAATTAATTGAATTGACAAATTGCCTTCAAAACAGCTTTTACAGCACTATCTTTCAACAATTAAATCTTAGTAAAATATTGTGGAGAAAAGGCAATACATACAGCAAAATAGCATAGCAGTTGTTATCCCAGCACTCAATTCTATGTGATAGATATATGGAATGGCTATCAATTTCGGAATCGGAGGTGTGGTCTAAATCTTATATGAAAAGCAACATACAGCGTAATAGTGGAATTATCGTTAAACGAAACCTTTTGTAGCATACTGTGAACGCTATTTTGTTAAATCACAGTAGACAACAACCGTTTTTACTTTTGTTTTGCGAAAATGGACTTTATTTATAGTCCACGGATTATTCCGTGGAAAAAAGTAAAAGAACAGCATTGCTAGTCGAATGCGGTACGATGAAAGAACGAATAACAGTGATATAATATTTTGCACTAAGGAACCCGAAACAAGCTGCAATGGAACGCCATTGTCTTAAAAGTTGTTAATTGGAAGCCTATAATCTATTTCTCGGCTAAAAGCTGAGTGAAAGCTTCGTGATGATAAAATAAGTTACTAAAAATGGCAAGTAAATTTAACAATCAAATTAATTTCTATAATTTAATATTTTGTAAGAAATCTTGCGGCCCATAAGAATAATATTACATAAAATATGAGGCTACCAGACGAAAAAGTATAAATCCGCAAATTAATTTGAAAGTAATAGCTTAGGATAAGTAAATCACTTGTAGTTATGTAAAAATGTAGCATATATAAATGGCAGAATCCTTACTTATATTTATTTTCACTTTATTCTTTTTATGAACTTGCACAACATTGCCGATAAACTAAACGTTCTATGAGTGTTGCTTGATAGTTTTTACGCGATTAAACATTCGAGTGATAACCAACCACCGGACTGCTATTTTACTACAAATAAGTCGAATGAAAGAGGTTTTACCGACTTGCCAACAACTAGTGTGTGGGATGACGGCATGCTGACAACAATGCACAGTTACAGTGAGTTTGCGATTACTCGATATTCTTTCGACTATTTGGTTGTTCAAACGGTAATTTTATAATATTCATAGTATTTAAAGCTGAGAGAAGTGCGCCCAAATCGCGTCGAGTGATCGGTCTCTTCGCTAATAGCTAAAATAGAAACGGCCTACTGATTTTTTTAAGATTAGGTTTATTAGTTGGGTTATTCACATAATTTCCGAAATACTAGGTAATATTTATTTTTGTATTTGTCATAACAAATTTGTAACAACAAAATTCATAAATAAAAATACAATTAGGTGCTTCACTACTGTTCATTAATTCAATTTGATTATATTTTATTGTAAAAACCTTGCTGAATTCAGGCCTTCCAATTTTTCTCATGAGAAAACTTTTTCATTAAAAATCGTGATATTCTGAAAGAAGGAACAAGTTTTTTCTTTAAATTTCAAACTAAAGTAAAAGACAAACAGGAGCAGGGAAAAGGAAAAAAAATAATTTGATGCCTCAAAAGCAGTCCTCTAATAAACTGGTGTTGAAAAGTAATCTTTCAGAACAAAGTTCAGAGGTTGAACTAAGTTATTTTAAGCTTCCGTTTTGTACAAATTTATAAAAAAACGGACTTAATTAATATCGTGCCGTACACATTTTGTGCATTATCACTGATCTTATAAGAAGCGAAAGTAAATTAATAATGTTTTGTTTAACTGTCTGGTAGGCTTTTACGGCTAAATCTACAAACCGAGTTTGTTGAATTTTAATAGCTTTTATAACGAAAATAGTTATAGGGTGTTAAATAGGAAATGATAATTTGAAATAGAAGGTTCTCTGCAGATGCCATGCCACCACTGGAAAAGATTTGTATTAAATTAACGTTGAATAAAACTAATTTTCAACGAGTTTATACTGCGTTTTAAATACTTTTTAACCGACTTCAAAAAAGATTCTGTGTTCGACTGTATATTTTTTTTATGTATTTCCAAAATTCTTTTTTTATTCAAAAGGATGCACTTCCGAGGTGGTCCCGTTGGAACCAAGTCAGGATCTGATGGTGGAATCCGGGGAAATCGAGGAAAACCATCAAATTTCAAAGACACGCACGATGTTTTTTTTGAATGTTCACCGAATTCTCCGTCAATTGTGTTATTGTTTATTTGGACGATGTAATTTTCACTGAAATGGATGAAATAAAAAATTTTTAAACAAAAAATAAAACCGACTTCAAAATCTAAAATGGAACTATAAAGTAAAAAATAATACATTTTACACAAAAAATAATTGACATTATGGGTTACCTATAATGCGAAGAGATGGCGTTGCCTTGCAGCTTAAGAATGGCTAGAAGAATTTCGACGCGGTCCGTGAGGGCCGCGGTAGTATAATTGATTAGTGCATTCGCCCGGATTGCGAAGGGTGCGGGTTCGAGTCCCGTCTGCTGCCTGGTCCGCGTGGAATTTTTTCTAGTTATATTTTCTTTAGATTTAAACATCAAGCAGTTACATGCTTTAAAATAATAAAAAAAAATGACTAAAAAATTATATCTGGTTTATGATTTGGAAGTCGGGCGGGGTCAAGATTGAAACATTATATAGATTTTCGTTTCTGATCGGTAATAATACGTCTTTCAATCTTGACCCGCCTGACTTCCAAATCATGGACCAGAAATGATATTATTTATTTTTTAAGCATTTAACTGCTCGATGTTTAAAAATCTAAAGAAAAGTTTACTATTCCCGTCCGCTGCCTGGTCCGCATGGACCAGATATTATTTTTTAACTTTTTAGTTCCATTATCGATTTTCTTGATTGAAATATATATATATAAATATATATATATATAGGGTGTTACAAAAATACAAATAAAGCTTGAAGGGCGTTGAAGTACATCATATAAGGAGTCTTCTCTATTTTTTTTTAAATATTTGCATGAAGTTTTAACTTTTTACAAAAACAGTTATTTCTAATGATCCTCGAGTTAGTGACGTTTCTTAAAATCCCTGTATATATATATATTAATAAAGATAGATTGAATCGGTTTTATATATGTTTAAGAATTTTTATATATATCGAAACGTAGAGCGTTTCGCTTCCTTTACAGGCTGCGTTGTCCAGAGTTAATTATCATTGTTAACTTATAAAATAACGTATCTTATCTGAATATAAATAATAAATAACACTTAAAACCTGTATAAAATTTAAATCAGCTTTTCCTGGAACTAAGCTCCGTCAACTATTAGGAGAAAATGCCAGACTGTACGCAATCGACTCCTACAATCCAGTTTGTATTTTATATATTTGTTTCTTAGGTTTTCACGCACATCACTCAAATAAAACTAGTTTAAACGAGTTAATGCACGAACTTTATTTATTTATTGACGTTTCGCAGCCTTTTCAGGTTTCAGATCTCCATCGTTAGAATAACGATTTTTTATTAACTTTGTCGAGCTACCTTCGAAAGACTTTTATTGAGGTTCGGATATTTCATTGGAAGATTTTTAAAACTTTATTGTCTATGTAAGAATTTATTAGTTAATTTAGTTAATAAAGTACTTTATATAAAATTCTTTTTTGTAATTTTGAGTTTATTTATTCACCGGCTACCACCGGTTCCCAAGCCGGTGGTACACACCAACCATCTTTCCTATTGTATTTTATAGCTGTCGGGTTTCTTTTT